CAAACCCTAACTATAAACTCCACAGACAGTAACACCTACGGAGTATTATTGTATTTTTTTATTATAAATCGTTATTGTGTTGATTAGAGATTTAGACTTACTTTTGAACATTGGACATTTGGACTATTTTTAGTTTGCATTTGCTATTTCGAATTGGAATTTAAACTTCGTTAGTTCGTATGTTAGTAAAATAGTTGAATGTTAATTTTTGAAGAACTATAGTTTTTAAAATAAGTATATTAGGACTTATGAAATTCAATTTTTTTCATTTTTTGTTTTTAAAAATTGTATTATTTTCAGACATTGACTATGGGTTGACCGGGAATGGGGATTCCCCGTCCCCGCCAAATTCTTAGTGGAGACGGAGACGGGGAATTTTTTCAATTTCCCGCCGGGGACGGGGAGGGGGTCGGGGTCGCGGGGACGGGGACGGGGACGGGGAGTATACTCTCCGCCCCCTCCCCGCCCCATTGCCATCCCTAACTCTTATTCCATGCCCAACATCCCTCCTCCCAATCATTATAACATAGTCCATTTTACAAGATGAACCATTCACATAAGGTTGAATTTTTAGGTATACTACAAAAAATTAAACTTTCAGTATATTATAAGTGAAATATTATATATATTTAAAATGAACATTATCCATTGTCTACATTACTATGGTCCATAATATAATTTGCCACTTTCCCCTCCTTGTGCCACCTTTATCCATTCAAATCCATTAGTCTTGGGACCTGGTTCCATTGCTCCATCAATTGTTAAATGTTTTAATTGTATTTTTTTTATTCAATGGTCCAATTCTACAAATTATAAAAGTTTAATTGTCTATTTGACATTTTTTTCTTATAATATATTACTTTTATAAATAATCACAAAATCTATAAATAATTATTATTTAATGGAAAAAGTTATTTTAAATATAATTTAGATTAAATACATAATCTAAAATATATGTCAATAATGATAAATGTTGAATTATAAAATTAAAAATGACACATAAGATTAATTTATGTGTCCATAATGAAAATTACAACATATATAAATAATGAATGTATGGTAAGTATAATTTTTATTTTTTTGAGAAGTATAAAACTATTTTTATTTAACATAATGCGTAGAAAATAAAATGTATTATTGTATCACTTTCGTGTCACATAACAGTTGTTTTTACATGTTTATAGTTAATATTGATATTTTATATTTTTAAAAATAAAAAACTAAAAGTGTAGTATATACTATATAGTATAATATAAAAGACAAATGTTAGGTATACTTCCTAAAATCTTCATTCCCAATTTTGGTCAATAAAATCATGACACCCCATTGAATTACAAGCCACATCATGAAAAATATTAGGGAAAATTTAGGATGGATAAATGGTATTTTCCAAGTATAAAAAAGGCCGTTCAACAAAATATGTAGACATTTGTCAACTAGCTTATAGCTCAACTCTTTTAAATGGGAGGTCATTGGTTTGAATCCCAGTGAGGTATTGACTCTTTGTGTTTCAATAGGTTGAGAAAGTATGTATGAATAAATACTTTATATTGTAATAGAGTTGGTAGTAATTAAAAAAATATGTGAGCATATAAATAATTTCTTTTTTACTAATTTTCAACCCATTGTAAACAAACCTTTTAGTAATTATCATAATACTAGTAATTCACCCGCGCGATGCACGAAAAAAAATTATATTATTATAAATATAAATAAAAAATAAAAAAACTAAAATATTTTAAATTATTTAATATAATAATATTTTTGAGCTTCCATTGGTCAAGTATTTATTATTTTTATAAAATACAAAATTACAATTATAATTATAATTATAATTATAATTATAATTTTGTATGGTTAATATAATCTCTAATTATGTGCATATTCAAATAAACTTATAGAGATAATTTACATAATTACATTGATTTATTCTTAATTGTATTTCATCTATATTATAATTTTCACAATACAAATAATAACTAAGATAATTACATTTGGAAAGCAAATTTCAAATTTTGTATGTGTAAATTTAAATTCTAATTGAACATATAGCTATTTTATTTTTCAAAAGTATATTTTTTATATGATTATATAATATATAGCTATTTTATTTTTTAAATGTTGTGTTTTTTTTTTATTATTAATAAAGGATGTTGTGGCATTAATTGTAACATTAATTATTTCCCAAACCATATAACTTTATTATATAAAGGATAATTAGAGGTTATATATAGCAATACCAATACTAATTATTAAGTTTATACGTAATAAATTAATTATAATAAATGTTTTATCTTAACATTTATTAAAAATATTTTCCGGATTTGGGGCTATACTGAATTACTGATTAATTATATTGTAATGGAATGAATGTGTGTAAACCAACTTTTTTGAGAAATGTTAATCCAAACAAAATCTGATGGAAAGTAAGCTAGATTAGTCGTATACCACAAAATATGAGTACTAAGTCTATTCTTATTCCTGTAAGTTATTTCATTTTTAAAGGTGGGTTTCAAATTCACATTATCAAATTTAAAATTTCATTCACTATTTTTTTTTTTACATCCCTATAATACTCTTTCATTTTTAAAAATGGTCAAATTTTCCCATTACATAAAAAAAAATGAAATAAATAAATAAATAAAAGTACAAAAGGCAAACTTGCTCGCAATAGTAAGGGTCCGTTTGAAAGCAGTAAAATGACTTCTGGAAAATAAGTCATTTTCGAGAAAACATTTTCCATTTCTAGTGTTTGGTTGAATTTTGGAAAACTGGCTTGATGTTTTGGTTCATTTTTCTGAAAAATGAGTAGAATTGTATAATTAAATATTTTATTTAGAATATAAAAGTATTTATAATAATATTAAAATTAATGTTATTTATCAATTTTTTTGTAAAAAAGAAAAAAAATTGGTTTTCTCCGGATACCAAGTTTTGAGTGTTGGTGGAAAAGGACTTCCGCCAAATTTTGACGTAAGTCATTTTCCGCCAAAATGGCTACATTTTTTCCGGTCAACGAAAAATAGTTTTCGTTGACTGGATTTTTCTATTACATCCAAACACTAGAAACCCAAAACCATTTTCTAAAAGACATTTTCGAGTTAAAAACATACTCCAAGTTTGCAAGCCAAGTCATCATTTAAAAAAATAAATAAATAAATTAGTCTGCCATGTCATCTTGCCAATGTAATACTTGTTGGGAATCAGGATGAGGACGGCCTAAGAGCAACACCATCAATGATTTTTAGAGAGTTTTTTTTATGGATCAATGCTGAGGTGGAGGAAAGATCGGAGATGAGAGAGAAAGTTGAGGAGCTCCTGTAAATATAAGTTTTTTGTGGGGCTCACTAGAAAAATAAAAAATAAGATCAACTAGATTCTGATGCACGTTGTGCGAATAGATGCGCCCAACTGAGCGCGTGCACTCCACGTCCTGCTGGGTGCGTAAACCGATATTTTTCTTCTGTTTTTCTGACAAAATTATTATCCGTCTTTTTTTTTAATAAAAATAAGACCAAGTAGGTTTTGATGCACGTTGTAGGAATAGATGCGCCCAGCCAAGCGCGTGTACTCCACGCGCCCGTTGGGTGCGTAAATTGACATTTTTCTTTTCTTTTTATGACATAATTGTTATCCGTTTTTTCTTTTTCTCTCTATCTTCTCTCTCAGTTGGCGTGACAAAAATCAAGAAAAAACTTTATCTATTGAGGTTACTCTAAGTAGATGCAACAAACAAAAAAAAATATAATTATTTGTCCGGCTGTCCAATCAACGTTTAGTCATGAATTTTTATTGGCAATCTTACTTCTTTTATGGTCCTTAGCACAAGCTTTTTGTCAAGTTTGTCAGGTTTGCAAACTTGCTGCAGTAGTAAGTTTGCAAACCAGGTCATCATTTAAAAAAAAAATTCAACCTATCATGTCATCTTGCCAATGCAATACTTGTTGGGACTTGAGACGAGCACAACCTAAGAGCAACACCATCAATGATTTTTTTGGTGTTTTTATGGGGTCAATGTTGAGGTAGAGGAAAGATAGAAGATGTGAGAGAAAGTTGAGGAGCTCCTGCAAGTATAAATTTTTTGTGGGATCCACTAGAAAAATAAACAATAAACCAAGTAGGTTCTGACGCACGTTGTGCAAAAAGATGCGCCTAGCGGAGCGCGTGCACTCCACGCGCCCCGCCGTAAACCGACATTTTTATTTTCTTTGTTTAACATAATTGTTATACGTTTTTTTTCCTTTTCTATTCTTTTTCTCTCTATCCTCTCTCTCGGTTGGCCTGACAAAAATCAAGAAAAAACTTTGTCTATTGAGGTTGCTCTAACTAGATGTAACAAACAAACAAAAAAAAAATAGAATTTTTTGTCCTGGTGTCCAATCAACGTTTAATCATGAATTTTTATTGGCAATCTTACTTCATTGATGTTCCTTAGAGCAACCACACCAATGCATAATGAGAGAATAATGTCAGATAAAAATGCCATGTGAAAGAGAGAGAAGCAAGAAAGAGAAAAATGGGGTGCTTCTGCAAATGCGGAGAGATTTCAGAAATGTGGGGTCCACCATTTACTTTAACCATGCGTGACAGCCATGCGTGGCTGTCACCTCTGTGCCCAGTACACGCACCAGCTGGGCGCGTCTATCTGAATTGGAGATGGATGGAGGCGCTATATAAAACCCGAGTTTAGCACCTGTGCGCGCCTCAGTAAATGAAAATACTATTATTTTTGGTTAATTTTTCTTTTTCCTTTTTTTTTTTTCCTTTTTTCTTTCACCTACCATTTTCTCTATCCTAATCACTTTTACATTATCTCCCATTCTCCTCAACTAATGTGGATGCTCTTAGAGCAAGTTCATATGGTTTAAGATATAGTCGGACGAAGATTTTAAAATTGAGAAATATTGATTTATATAAAAAGAAAAAAAAAAAAAGGAAATGTTTCAAACCCACAATTTGTGGCCAAGACTACCAAAAAGTTGGACAAAATTCCAAAATAAATATATGGAGAATAATAGTTTCTACCAGCCTCCTAAAATGGCACAAAACAGCAGGGAAAACAAGAAAGCAGGCAGCAAAATCACACACACATAGATTATCATCACCTCTTCCTTAGGAACCCCAAAAATCCATATATCAAGAAAAAGAGAGAGAAAGGGAGAGAGGAAGAAACGACAGGAGAGTCGGTCTAGTGAAGGGAAAAAGGGAAGAGTGGAGCGAGGATTCAGGAGAGAAATTCATGGGAGAAAAATGAGGGAAAGACAGCATTTACGTAGGTTGATTTAGATTTTCATTGAAAGCTTTGAATTTTGAACAATATATTTTTATTAAATTCTATGCTATCTCTGTCTGTTTTTTTTTTTTTTTTCTTTTTATTTTCAGTCTTTCCACATTTTACTGATCTCTCAGACAAGTATATCTGCTGGGTTTGAGAAAAATCCGAAACTGTCAGATTCTCTCTCCCTCTTTCTCTCTCTCTCTCTCTCTCCATCTCTCTCACAACTTATAGCTTTATAAATCTGTATGCAGAAGCATTCTTTGAGCGTAAATGTATCAGAAAGTTGCAATCTTGGCTGAATTATTATGAGGGTCTTTCTCTTTTCATGTGTTTCTGGTATTGATGGATTCCATCACAGCCAGATTTTGAGCAATCATTTGCAGATGGTAAATTGGGTATTTGGGGGCTTTTTTTTTTTTTTTTTTCTTTGATTTTGGCTTTTATTGATTCTGCATAAAAGAAATTTCCTTCTCCATTTGGTGTTCTTTCTTTTAAACATTCTCCTTTTGTGTGGGTTTCTCAATATTCTGTGTTTCTTGAACAGTATAAGGGTGATGTGGTGGATGGATTTTGTGTGTATATGTAGTCTCCATTTTGGTTTGGTTTACTGAAAATGTTGTGATTGTGTTGAAATTTTATGGCAATGGCTCAAGAAGAACATGCCCAAAAGTATAGCAATAGTAATAGTGGTGGTGGTGGGCATGGCAGTAGATCTTCCAAGAAGATGAAGCCAAAAAAAGTCCCACAGAGAGGGCTAGGTGTTGCTCAGCTTGAAAAGATCAGATTAGAAGAGCAGCATAGAAAAGATGCAGCTTTACTAGCAGCCAGTGTTTTGCCTCCCACTTTTAGGCCTCACCTTTCTTCGTCTTCTTCGATGGCTTTGCCACCGCCATCACCCACTGATCTAGCTTCCCCGAATTCCGCTTTTATTAGGCCACTCCAATCCCCTTGTGTTTCAAAGATCGATGCTTTCCAGCCTTACTCCAATGTGTCGTTTTCAAAGCCTTTGAATGTGGGAGGTGTTGATAGGAGTTGGGCAAGTATGATTGTTCCCGGGAATCATAATTGGCCTAAATTGTCTAATGGTGAATACAATCTTAAAGTAGAGAACCAGAGGTTTGATCACCATGGTGTCGGGTTTCAGCCGAACTTAAATTTGGCCGTTGAATCACAGAACCCAGTTTTGCCTCTCCCCTGTGTATTGCAAAGATCACAACAATGCCAACGCCCTTCCTCTTCATCAATGGTTAGCCGACTAAACTCAGTACTTGTGTAGTTTGTTTATGTATGCGTTATAGACTTATAGTTGTGGAAGGCTAAATGGTTTTGTGGAAAATTTGCAGGTGAACGCCTCAACAGGGATTTCATCATCATCTGCTCTGAATTATCAGATGGAGCCCCCTTCAAACCAAAATTATTGTGGCAACAATTATACACCCCTGTGGCCGGAGGAAGTGAAGGTAAATTCTTCGTTTCATGAATATTACTTGCCTGGTTAAAAGTGACGTCTGCCAATTACCCGATTTGTGAAGACAGGAATATAGTTTACTAGGACAGCACATATGTTTTCTTTAGTACAGTTTTGTATTTCTAGTTTATTTTTATATTCCAATAATTTGTGCTTGGGCATCAGAATTCCTTTTTTTTAAAAAAAAAAATAAGAAGCTATTTTGTTGATATAATGCAGCAGATGGTTGGCATTAAGAGGCCATATCCCTTCTCCCCCGAGTATCCACCACTGCCTGCATTTCGTTGCAAATTTCCTGCGGGCTATATGCCTTGTGTTTCTAAAACAAACGAGTCTGCTTCCAGCAGCACTGGTTGCACGTTTAATGTAGAACCACCGTCCAATCTTCCAACGAGGTATGATTTCACGAGGCCTTTACTGTTGAATGCCCCCCCCTTTGGTAAGACTTGTTTTTTTGCATCTTTATCAGAGAAGGTCCGTCAAACTCAGATTCTATGTCTGAGTCCAACCCGCGGAGACTTACCAGAGAGAATGAAGGTTTGGGTGGAGGAGATTTTCTCACGCTGGCCCCTCCAGCAGCTTCTTCACTGCATTTAGATCCAAGATACCATCGTTCATTTGGCAATTCACCTCTCGAAACATCTAATCAGGTGAAACACGAGTAATCTGTCTACCATCATTGTTGATTTCCTGGAGTTTGGTTTGGATTTCAGACTAACTACTGCTCCTCCTTTGAAATCTATAGGGAGGTGGCGAAGAGCTGGTTCAACGCTCATCAGGACCAAGCCGATCGGATCAACCACTCATCTACACCTTTTTTCCATCAGCCAACATACATAGCGGGCACGAAGCTACCCCTAAAAGCAGCTACAAGGGTGAAGCAAGCGGAGGCGTCGATCTAAACCTCAAGTTATAGCCAACTTGCTCATCATCTCTTGTGGCTTATGGTGTTTCTAGTCATCCTTTTATGCATTTGTGTTCATATGAGCATTGTGGTGTGTGTATATTTTGGTTTCCATCTTCTGGGACTCTCTCTGTCCTCAAGCTGTTGTGCTATTTAGATGATCCATTTTACACAACAGCTTTGTTCATCAAGTTTGAGCTAAATATCTTGCTTTGTTTCAATAAGCAAGACTGACTGAGTTTGATCCATTTCATCTCTCATTTTATTTCATGGCTATTTAACCTCTAGTGTTTATATCTCTTATAGTCTATAATAACAATGAAGGGTTTCAAACTTTTAGAAGGAGCAAATACCAATTTTGGTCCCACCAGTATTAATAATACAATTTTGATCTACATGTTTAATTCTTACCAATTTTCATCCACGACTATTATTTTAGTGTCGAAGGAGTGATTGACACGATGAATTTTGGCACTAAAACAATAGTTGTGGATGAAAATTGGTAGTAAAACAATAGTCATGGATGAAAATTGATAAAAATTAAATATGTGGATCAAAATTGTCATTTTGCTAATACTCGTGGGACCAAAATTGGTATTTACTCTTTTGGATACTTGGACTCGAATGACCTAATTGTGTGTTTATACCTTTGGTAGTCTTAGACAAAGTATTAGATAATCTATATAATAATAATGGAGGGTTCTAAACTTTCAGAAGCTTGGACCCGAAAGACCAAATAATAACAATGAAGGGCTTCGAAAGCTTAGATTTGGATGCCCCTTTGGATTGTTTATATCTCTAATAGTCCTTATATAAACTATTAGATAATACTCTATAATAACAATGAAGGGTTCCGAACTTCTAGAAACTTGGATCCAAATTACCTAATAATCTACAAATCTAATAAGAACCAATAATATTAGACTCTTAACTGAAACAAAAAAAATGTGCCCAATAATAATAATGATTGATTCTTAAAATGATTGATTCATATTATTTTGACTAGTATTTTTTATGTGCGATGCGCAACAAATAGGTGCCCAATAATAATAATTTATATTAAAATTTTAAATTAATTTAGATTTTAGATATTTAAATTATTGTAAATAATAATAATAATGTAAAATATTTTTATAGTTGATATTTATAATTTAGGAAACAACTAACATATAAGTATATATTATTATTATTATTATTATTATTATTATTATTACTAGTATTTCACCCGTGCGATGCACAGACATATATTTGGCAATATTGCAATTATGTTAATAAATTAAAAGTAATTTTATTTGTTATTATAGTGGCTATATGTCCTGTTTTTCTTAATTGGTAGCATTTAATAATTTTTAAAAACTGTTACATATATACAAAACAATAATAAATTATGATATGACATTGAATATCAGTATAAAATTACAAATTATTGAAAATTTCTTTGTACACTACATTTCCTGTAGTGTTCAAACCCACATTCGAGTCTCCACATATTAAGATTTTCAGCCCATCTGGATTACTTACCCGAGATGCTGCTACATACAACTGTCCATGGTTAAACACGGGTTTCTTTAATAGTAGTCCGACATTAGATAAAGTTTGTCCTTGACTCTTGTTTATTGTCATAGCATATGACAACATTATTGGAAATTGCTTCCTCTGAAATTTAAACGGTAGTCTTGGGTCAGAAGGAGTCAATCCCAATCTTGGTATTAATACCCTGGTGCCTGCATTGTTGCCACACAGAATTTGAGCTTCAATGACATGGTTTCCTAATTGTGTAATGATCAACCTTGTACCATTGCACAATCTCAATGAGTGGTCTATATTTCTGAGCAGCATAATTGGCGATCCAACCTTTAATGTTAAAGAATGGTTTGGAACACCGGAGCATCTCAAACTGTTAAGGAACTCTGTAGTGTGAACCTCCGATAACATATCAGAACTTGTATCTGACTTGCAAACCGAATCACAGCTCAAATATGTCTTGGAAGTTGCCTCATTCATACTGTTCATGTATTCATTCACCTTGTCCACAACATCTAATGTTAGAGCTAATATAGCTCGGAACTCTAAAAATTTATGATCAAATTGACCATGACCGTATGAAGGAAATGTGCTTTGGACAATTTCTGCTATGGGGTCAACTTCATTTCTTAAAACAAAATTATCTGGAATCCTTATATTGAAGACACCATTTTTCTCTTCTCCTAAATTTCCATCTCCTAGATCAGCAATCCATTTTGCAAAGCTGTTTAACTTAGCAACTTCTTCTGCACTTGAAATTCCACGCAACCTAAGATTCTTGGTTAAGCGTAGTACTTCGCAATTACTCCACAAGTATGATGAGTTTATACTTGCTTGTACTATTTCTTGTCTGCTGCCTTTTGGTATAACTGGTAGTATTTGTCTAAAATCACCTCCAAGTACCACTGTTTTTCCACCAAAAGACATTTCTAAGCTTTTTGGATTGGTGAATCGCAATATGTCTCTCATTGTCCGATCTAATGCTTCAAAACAATGTTTGTGCATCATCGGAGCTTCATCCCATATGATTAACTTAGCTTTTATAATCAATTCAGCAAGTGGACTACCTTGGCTAATGTTGCAAGTTGAGTCTTCATTCACTGCAATGGGGATAGAAAATCTTGAGTGTGCAGTCCTTCCACCCGGTAAAAGTAGCGAGGCTATACCGCTTGATGCTACATTCAAAACAACTTGTCCCTTTGACCTTAAAGCAGCCGACAGTGTCCTCCATAAAAATGTCTTGCCAGTTCCACCATATCCATAAACAAAGAACAAACCACCTTTATTAGATTCAACATCCACAATCACTTTGTTGTATATGAGTAATTGTTCATCAGTTAGTTTAGAAAACAGAGATTCATGTTCTAGCTTTAAAGCTTCTTTGTCATACGCCAATTCTTCGTATAACAACCGATTACCGAAATAGTATTCATGACTTTCCACTGGCATCGGCATTGGTGGATAATCACTTAGAGACTTGTTCCAAGCATTCAACAACTTTTCCACTTCCATTAGTGCCCCATTTTTCTTCTGTTCGTCATTGAGCATCAAATCTACATAATTTATAAACAAATTAGTTGAATATATAACTGCAAAAAGTACATTTAAGTATGTGTTTTGAAGAAGAATTGTTTACCTGGATTACTTGTATTTCTTTTAGCATTGAACTCAACATCATCAGCTAGGTATTGCCAAACAATATCCCACACTTTCTCTGGTTTCGCCATTGAATTTGATGTCAATAAGGTTACAAACAATTTACGTAAAGAATGTGCTGAGGACCATATCGCTGCTTCACTAATCGGGTCAACATACTCTTTATCATCCTCGATTAAACCATGTGCATAACAGGCATCTCTAAATGAAGTATACTGCACCCCCTCAAAATATTTAATTTCATCAAAGGACCTTGGTCCACGCACAATATTAAGTAAACATCTAAGATAGAAGATTTCTCCGCTATTTGGCGGAACATAAAAAATACGACCAATTGCAAACTTCCTTTGCCTTGGATGCCACTCTCTCTTATCTTTTTTCCATACAAATTTTGTTGGCATTTCAGCGTAAGTCAAGTTTCTTGCCTCGCTATATTTGCTGTTAGCATCAAACCATGCCGTGAACATACTTTGTCTCACAGTTGAACGGTTAACAACATCATTGACAACATCATCATCATTAAATATGATTGATTGCTCATTTGGTAGATGAAAGCTCAAGCGCTCTACAGACGGATCCCTCGTCTGTATATCAAAGGCGAACATCCTCCATGCTGCCTCACAGGGTGAAATATACCTACAATCATAATACATCTTGATCTCATCGATTACCTTTCCATTAGCTTCATCAGCAACACTGTTGTAGAATTCAGCCGTAACCCGATCATTCCCCTTGTTCACATACTTAAATAAGTACTTAATTGATCTGGATTGATTGCACCACTCTACATTTATATGAGCCCTATACTTCACCAATAAATGCCTGTTGTGTGGAACGACATACCTGCTATCTAGATCAATACCATTTTTCTTTATGGTCCTACCGTTGTCACTCCTACGGTAAACAGGATAACCCTCTTCATCCATTGTTGATTTCTCTACAAATTTCTTTGGATAATATTTGGAGCATCTACCATTAACCATGCATGGTGAATTCTTCCTACACGTACCACACGGACCGTGCATCATAAATTCTTCTACTGCTTTGTGATACTCTGGGTCGCACAACTCACTTGGTATATCTGCTGAAATGAAGTTGTCTAAATCTGTTGCAGCCACAGACCCACGGTGATTTGCCAGAAACAACAATATGTGGGCATGCGGTAAACCTCTTTTCTGAAATTCAATGGTATAAATCACTACAATAAAAAAACATTAATAAATTCAGTATTCTGAAATATAGATCAAAGGACTTGTTAAAAAATAAATAATTTTTTAAACTTTAAAACATATAAATTCTTTACCTGCTAGAACAGAACCAAATATGTTTTCTTTACGAATCTCCTTGATTAGAGCATTTAACTTCATCTTAAAGACACGACATATTATATCTGGCCGATCTTCTGCCTTTAACCTTCTCTCTTCCAAAAATCTGACAATTTCAGGCCATTTTGGGTTACATGTGAATGTAATAAAGAGAGTTGGATACCCAATCCATCGACATATTGCCATCGCATCCTGGTAATTTTGGACCATATATCTTGCACCACCTGTAAAAGTTGAAGGCAAAATAATTCGACGGCCTTGGGCAGATGGATCAAGTTCACCATGGGTCAGAGCATCTGTCAAGCATTTATAAGACTCACATCTCAATGATCTTTGGTGAGTCCTAACATATACTAAACGCCCAGATTCGATCATAGTGTATGCATCTACCAGGAATTGTTGTAACAACCTTCTTGCGAACTGATAAACATTATTTTTAGTGTTATTTTTAATAATATTTTTATAGTTAATTTACAATAATTGATTAATTATATACATATTTTTATTTATTATTGTTATTAGTAGCTTTGTTAATATTATATTTAATTTTAGGTTGTTTTACTTATTAAATTTGTTTTATTATTTGATTTCTGTTAGTCTTATAGTTCTTGATCCTAATTTCTTATAATAATATTAATTTTAGTAGTACATGATCAGTAGGTGTTTAATAAAGGTAGATTAGTTATATATGGTCTCTAATAAATTTTATTATTATTATTATTATTATTATTATTATTATTATTATTATTATTATTATTATTATTATTATTATTATTATTATTATTATTGAGAAAGGAGCCGCGAGAAATAAGATCTTCAACAAATCCAGTCTTTGAGTGATCCGAATGAAACGTTGAGCGGAAGAGCAACCAATAATTAACACAATTTTAGTGAGCAGTCCGGAATAAGCTGTTGGTCTAGGGAGTATAAATTGAGGCCAATTCAGAGAAAACATCATGAATCTTACCCCGGATCAATTCCGGAGGTGCGAACAGAAGAGAAAAATCGAGGTCCGCGGCAGCTTCAATTCCGGGCGGTGGCTTCATTCGGCACAAATTAATTATTTGGTGGCAGCAGCTTAGCAATTTTCACACGGCAATTCATCACTCCCTTTGCTCTTTATAATTGTTTATTTACTCTAATCATTGGTTGTAGTTGTTAAGTGTTGGTAGATTAAATCTTGCGAGTTTGTTGGGAGATTAAATCTTGTGAGTTAGTTGCTGTTAATCCCATAATGCATTGCTAATTAAATTTGCTTGAGAACATGATCTAATTTCTATGAACATTTCGCATTAACTTGAGTTTTAATATTGCCTATTAATTATGTTTTATCTAATAATGATTTTATTGAGATTAGTTGAGTTGAATTGATCAATCTATTCCGAGTTACGTTAATCTAGCCTTTATTCCCTAGTTGTTTTGTTTTGTGGTTAATTTATTATTATTTTTTTTCTATCTTTATTTTTGCCTGCATTTCCGTTTAGTTTAATCCATGTTGATTGTCGTTTAGTTTAATCTATTTATTATTCTGTTTTCTGGTTTCTGAGTTTTGTTATTTTTGGCATTTGATTCAGTACTTTACATTATCAAGTCAATTAATTTAAGTTTAAGTTATTAAATTGCATATTATCAATTCCTCTTGGGTTCAACCCTTGCCTTTGCACACTACCACTACACTGACTCGTGCACTTGCGAGGACATTATATATTAAAATTGTCCAACACGAACAACAATGTTGACATCTCATTCTTTCTATCTTGAATATAATAGGAGAAGTATTCTCTAGGACTAATCCTAATACGACCAGGTCGGCCTTGTTGTTGAACACCTGAGAATTGAATATCCTCTCTATATCCATCTTCACCAAATGGGAATAACAATGGGTACTGCAGTGGTAGATAGGCCGGGTTTAATTCACTAATCCTTTTAAAAATACCAGATCTTGATTCCACCAAGATATCACGTTCTCCCATATTTGGATCTAAGTCTCCCACTATCAAAGCCGCCACTTCACTGACTTGTGGTAAATTATACGTTCGCGCATCCTTATTCCTCTTTCCTATTAATTTGATCTTAATCTCTGCCATCGGATTTGTTTCAATCTCTGTTCTTGCCATGCGAAAACTTTTTACTAAGACATTGTTTTGATCTAATGCGTCTTGTATGTCTTGTACTATCTCTGCATGTAGTTTATTGTGAACATCATCTTCTCTGTATATTTATGACAAAATATATTTAATTAGCATAATGTAGTAAAAATCGAACAATGCAATTTATATATAGAATGGAATTGACGTACCTAATTGCATCGATGCGATTTTGTATTTCGTTTTGAGTATCATATATGTACAATTGAGCAAACTTCGGTCGAGAGCCAAATTCAGGCATTAGGCTTCCCAAAAGGTGGAAATTCTGACCGTGTAAGCGGAAAACAGGTGGTGCAGTACCATTATTCAAAGTCCTATCAATTTTTCCACCCATTGAAGTGAAGCAAAACATATTGTTGTAGGACCTAATATTTTTTAAAAAATGACCACTCTTGTTGTCATTCTTAAAAAACAAATCAAACAATGCAGCCGGCGGAGTTGGTTTAGTAGGCAACTTGATTTTTCCGTGAGTACAACAAAGCGAATACTTTGGTCTTGAAGTTCCCAAAATTTGGTTGATCCTTTCTTCCATCCAAAACACCGCACCACAATGGTCACATGAATATATTGGATCACCAAATTCTAAATATGTACCTATAAAAATTTTTGTGAATTAATGTTATGTTCTTAATTGAATATACACAATCAACAAATCAAACAACATATATATTGAATTCTACAAATTTGAAAATAATATACTAACCATTCTGCAAAGATGTAACATAAGTTGATCCTCTAGTGACCGTGTCAAACTCGGGCATTAACAACCTATTCAACCGTACATTGCCTTGATTTAAGGTTGGATTCACAACACATGAACCTAAAATGTTTTAAATTGAGATTTGGAAACAAAGAAGATAAATGACATGAATGTAAAAAATGATTAAAAATTCCAATTATTGAGTATTATGAGATTTACCGTTTCTGTTGTCTTGAAAGGGATGACGAAGAATATTTTGATTAACATTCGGCACTTCCCCTATTGTCTGTTGGCATATTGTTGAATTTGTATAATAACCTGGGACCATTGGAAAATAAGAATTTGAACGATTAATTATAAAATTTTAAAACATAACATTTTACAATTAATTACCTTTTAGCGGTATTTAACAATGGTATAGTCTTAAAAATCAATTAATCAAGCAATCAAACAACATATATATTTAATTCCTAAAATTGTAAAATAATATACTAACCATTCTGCAAAGATGTAACAGAACTTGATCCTCTATTGACATTGTCAAACTCAGGCATTAAGAACCGATTCAACCGTACATTGCCTTGACTTAAGGTTGGATTAACAACACATGAACCTAAAAAATGTGAAATAGAAAAAATTAAAAAAACTAAGATGAATTAAATGAATCTCAGAAATCATTAAAAACTGTCGAATTTTTGAGTTGTATGAGATTTACCGTTTATGTTGTCTTTAACGGTTTGACAAATAATATTACGGTATCCATTCGGCACTTCCCCTATTGTCTGTTGGCATGTTGTAGAATTTGTATAATAACCTGGGACTATTGGCAAATAGGACTTTGTAACATTAATTACAAATTTTAAGAACATAACATTTTACAAATGATTACATTGTAGCGGTATTTAATAATGATCTAGTCTTTAAAATCAAGCAATCAAACAACATATATATTTAATTACAACAATTTTAAAAGAAAATACTAACCATTTTGCAAAGATGTAAGAGAAGTTGATCCTCTAGTTACAGTGTTCAAATTTAGCATTAACAACCGATTAAACCGTAAATTGCCTTGAGTTAAGGTTTTATTAACAACACATGAACCTAAAATGTGTAAACTGAAAAAATTATAAAACTAAAATGAATGACATGAATGGAAAAAATCATTAAAAAAAATCAATTTTTTCTATTTTATTAGATGTACCGTTTATGTTGTTTTTGAATGGTTGACAAATAATATTTTGATTAACATTCGGCACTTCCCCTAATGACCGTTGGCATGTTCAAGAATTTTTATATTAGCTAGTACTATTAAATTTGTAACAACATTTAATTATACAAATGATTACATTGTAGCGGTATTTAACAATGATATAGTCTTAAAAATCAAGCAATCAAGATATATATAATCCCTAAAATTTTAAAATAATATACTAATCATCCTGCCAATGGTTACATTTTAAAAATAAATGATTAATTACAACTTACAAATTATTAAAATATAACATTTGACAAAGGATTACATTGTATGAGTATTTAACAATGATATAGTCTTACAAATCTAAAAAAGATTTAACATAATATATAAAATGTTTAACGAACAATTGAAATAATAAATTAATAACAATACGCCAATACCATTAGTCATGGTGCTAGATGGGGTTTCCATATTGTTACGAAGAGGCCTAAGTACACGCCTCTTATTCGTTGTTAAAGTGTTGTTGCATGTCAAAATGGACTTTGAAGTGCTTGGCAAAATGATTGTTTTGATTACCTGAACAAAATAGCAAGAAAAAGCAATACTTCAATCTTACGCTAAAACTAAATTTCATTCTCCAAAAACACACTGAAAAGAAAAATTATTTACCATTCATTTGATTGCTTGACGGGGTGTTGAATTCTTGTAATGGTATTGAAAGTGTCATGATCTCTAAAGTTGATATGATTCTCTTTATCAAAATGGATTTCTAGATTGGTTAGATTGATTTTGTCCAACTTCATCTTCTGCCATATCAAATACGCAATTAACACTTAGTTTAGCTAAATATATCAATATATATATTATAATTGGAACTCTAAGTTAAGAAACATTCGATGAATACATCAATTTCTTTAGTACCAATTCAACATATTATGATTTATGCAAAAAATGACATTGTAAGCAGTTAAATGTTATAAAAACTAAATAAATAATTATTTAGTTATTGATCAAAGTGTAAACCCTATGTGATATACTAAATAAATAATTATTCTGTATTTTTATTAATCAAAGTCTTCTCTGTACCAATATATAAATTAAAAAAAAAAAAAAAAAAAAAACAATATGCCAACCTCGGCATACACGTGTAATGTACCCATGATCCATTTAGCTAGGTAAGACTTCCTTTCTCAGAAATGAAGAAGAAATGTCGAGAAGAAGCATTCTAGACATTTCCGATCTTCCTAGCTATCTGTGTTACCATGGACCTATCTAGACAAAGCACTGAATCCTTCTATATTTCTTCATCCTACTTCACTGACTGCACCTTACCTCTCTGTTCTACTGTTGTCAATTTCTATTTCTACGCATCAAGATTACATAGAGTATTAAGTTGTAATGTTTTCACAATCCAGATCTGGAAACGTAGAATGAGTATTTGGTTTTATTTTCCTTTGAGTTCTGTTCTACCAAACAGTTGTAATGCTTCTCTTCCTAGATCTAGAGCTGTTCATGGCCCAAAAGTTTTTGTTTTGAGATGGTATAAATTTTCGATCATCTCTAATAGTTTTCTACGGATCTACAGTGCTCTGTTGCTAGATCTGGATTTTAAGACAGCCGATCTCAAAGAAGGATATACAGATTTGCTTAAACAGGTAGTTTTAATTATATATATACAAATTGTTCTTATACAAACCATATGTTTTTGTTTTACTCTATAAATTCATCGCCGGGTATAAACAAACTGTAATCTGATTTTCATTGTTGTCTTCCCTAAAATGTCGGCAGCCAGAAGATTTACTCTGAATTTCTACGAAGAGAAGAATGCAGATAAAGCCTTATAGGGTAACCAAATGTTTATTACCTGGTTGAGGTTGTTATGTTCTTCCTTTTGTCGCAGATGACTGTGGATGCACTGATCTTCCTCATTGCGTGAGCAGTAGTATTCCTTTGTGTGTAATCTGGTAGGCTATGTGCAGAGCATGCTTGAATAAGTTTTTTTCTGTCAGTACATTAGACTGCAATTACTTGATTTTTGAGTTGATATAGAGCAGGATTTGATTCCCATTAATGATTAGTCTTATTGGGAATAAGAAAAGTCTTTTACTATTCCACCATTGCCATTAATTTGACTTAAATATTTATTTCATACTAACCATTTACTTGCAGAAAATGGTATATGATGAACTTTGTTTCTAATGCCCATGTTGAATGGTATCTCGATTGCTATACTTGAATGTAGTTATGTATCTAATACATATAAGTTGTTTGCAAAATAAATTGCAGATGATTAATTATGATGTAGATGGTAGTGTATGTAGCTTTATGTTAGTTTAATATTACTGCTTATAGGATTACTGCTTTGCAATAAATTACTTTGTTTAGCGATTAGTGAATTTATCTTAACTTTTTATTCACTACTAACCTTTATTTTTCAGGATTTGACAGGTGATGAAAGTACATTCTGATGCCACAATTTATTCCAACGTGATCAAACAATACCTATACATTCTGCTACACTCATTATAGACACAATAAGAGTTTAAATTTAGTGTTTTATGGTCCACTATTTTAATGCAGTACTCACTATTTGCTTATTTGGTTTAAAATCTCTTGTTCTTGGTTAACTGAATTAATAGTTGCTTATTTGGTTTAGTGTCTGTTTACAAAGTTAAAAAACCTCTGTGAATGTTGCATTATATTCCAGTCAGAGGTAAATGAAGACATAGGCTGCCAAGGGTATTTATTTTCACTAAAGTATTCTTACATTTATAATTAGCATTAATGCAGTATTTTTTAACATTCACAATTTTTCAATATCATTATATTTTTTAAAACCTGATTTGGCTATATATATGTATCTATGTTCTAAAACTGAATTAATACTTGCTTATTTGGTTTACTGTCTGTTTAAAAAGTTAAATAACTTCTGTGAATGTTGTATTAATTCCAGTCCATAGCTAAATGAAGACATAAGCTACCCAGGGAATTTATTTGCACTAAATTAATCTTAAATTGTAAGTTTACATGAATGCATTAATTGTAGCTCCATTATTTTAGTTTAGGTAATGTTTTTGACTTAAGTCTGGAAATTCCTTATATTAGATTCAGTGAAGTTGATGTAGCTCAATTCTTTGTTATATGAAGATAAAGTCCCATTGATAGGTAATTTTATGCCATCCATTATTATTATTATTTTTCATATAGTTTAATTGAAGTAATTTAATCCATTTATAATAAGACTGTTCTATTTGTTTAATGTCAGGAAAGTGCAAGCTTAAAACTATATAACACACATAAAGTGTTGTGAAATCAAGACTTAACTTTGAAAGGGATGAACCATTTGATGGTGAAAACAAAGGATTTACCTTTATGTGTGTTATATAGTTTTCTGAAGACAAAGTCCCATTGATAGGTAATTTTCTGCCAATCCTTTTTT